CACGGCTCGGCGGTTTTGGTTGGAGGGTTGTGTCATTTGTGCCTGTGGTCGATTTTGGCGCGGTTTTGTGCTCTTTGCCCTGCCTGCGATGGGCGGTCATTTTGCGCCGACCTCATCATCAGGGGCATTCTATATTTTGCTTTTGAGTGTGTGCTCCCACATGTAAAGATTTGCATTGAATGTGCATTGGGTTGCAATACCTTCTGTTGGGAATTCGCGGAAAAAGGGGTGGTCTGTCAATGGAGATGCAGCGCAGGGAACAGAACAACATGAGCAACAAGAGGCTGTTAGCAAACCTCTGATCTTGCTTTTGTTTTCAAACATGGAAAATATGCCGTGTCACCTTCAGGCGATGTCGGGTTGCGCACAGGCGCAAGAGGTTATTGGAGAACCTTGGCTCTTGTTCACCCCGAACACACCAAAGTTATGCTGGAGAGTAGAAATCGACCATGTAGATGATCGTCCGCCTTATGCGGTTCCCTGTTCCCTGTGGAGCGCGAGGACAGCAGCGCGCGAAGTGGTCGCTGAATTGTGCGCTGCCACCAATTCTTTGGGGCAGTGCCGGCGCCATTTTCTGCATTTGATTGTTAACACCTCATTACAGCACCAGTCCAATGCGATCAGGCATGAGACCTTGCCCATTCGGTGTCGGGTGCCAGGGTGGTGTTCATACTGGATCGATGGCGTGCTGGCATTTGCCAGCACTCGCTGTGCCTCAAATGCAACATCTTCACATTGAGCTACACGCGCCAATTCCAACCCGGGTGCTTCATGCGCACCGAAGGTTGCGGCATGAACGCCAGGTGCGATGGATGTGGTCAGCATGCACGCCCTGGTTTTGATGTACAGCCCAACGCAAAGCACGGAAGCAATCGACAAGCAAGTCCCATAATTGGACACCCCATGGAAGGCTGAACCTCCTGTCAACGAAGTCACGAGACGTTGCTTCGGCAAGCGCACCACGCGCATTCCGACTCAAAACATAATGAGTATTACATCGCTCTCTTGAGGACACGGGATAGGGCACAACAACACTCTCTGGTGTCCTCCTACGAATACTGCCCTGTACAAGCGCAGGCAGGAAAAACATTGAAAGTCGGCATCGGCGTCTTATTTGTGATTCCGGAGGCTGGAGGTAGAGTGATCTAACCTCGACGCCAATCGGTCGCTCTTGCCGACCCGGCGGTCCCTCGCCCACATTCCACGAACTTACTAACCTGCTTGCCCTTCTAGTGTGAAGACTGCCCTTGATGCAGCTGCCACAGAAAGTTGCCAAGTACACCGATCAACAACAGGTCGAAGCGCCAGACAGCTTCCCGTATCAGGAGGGAGCCATTTCGTGGAAAGCGCAGCGAAACCAGCCTGCCTGCTCCCGCCCATGCCCAAGCTACCCGCCCACTTCCATTTTCGCACCCCCCCCTCTCCCCCCCCTCTCACTCTTTGAACCCTCCCTAGAAATCAGAAGATGTCGAACTCAGAACCAGCCAATCTCGACAGCGTCTCGCCGTAGAATATCTTCCAAATCGTGGCCCACAGCGGCGCGAATTCGTTGTTTTCCATCGCTTGCTGCGATCTCTCGCAGGCCCAGAACTCAACCGCCTCGTACTTGTCAGCCGGTTGGAGCTGGCAGTCCACCTCCACGGTGAAGAGGCAACCCCTGCTGCTGCTGCTGCAGGACTCCTCGTAGGGGAAGACGAACATTTGTTGCATCTTCTCCACCTTGGAGCCATCTGCGCCCAGCGCCAACTTCAGCCCTCGCAGTGCTGCGTCTTTGTAGTCTTCGTTTTCACGGCAAGGCTCGCTGATGCCCATCTCCACAGACTCGCATTTCATGTCCTGCGAACACCAGAATGGACGTAAAGAAGTCAACGTTGGGAACACCAGAATGGACGTAAAGAAGTCAACGTTGGGACGAACTCAACAATCAGAGAGCATTTCATGGTCAGGGCACGGCATTCGGAAGTGTTGTGAAAAGCAAGTGCGGCAAGCTTTGATCGCTGGGCATTCCACAGCTCCTTGGAAAACGGGTCTCTACTTGGGCAGGTGTCGTGCAAGAGTGGTCATGGACCATGTCAACATTGTCTGAAGGTGTGCAGGCATGGACGAAAGTTGATTTTCAGCTGCTACATGGACATGGCTTGGCCAACTAGCGTTCCTAGAAGGAATCTAGCAGCTGTGGGCAAAGAGAAGGTGATGATTCTGGCGAAGCGGTTGAGGGCAGTGAAACAATGGGGCTAGAGCGGAGTGATCAACCAAAACGCCACGAGGTCACTTGGCCTCTGCCATCTGTGGGACTGCTGGACAGAGTGACCCGTCGGGCTGGTAGCAAGTGATGCAAAGGAAGAATGACTGGCCATCAAGGCCATAGCATCATGATGCTCTGCGACCAACCTTGTTCTTGCGTTGCTTCAGCATCATCAGGCTGCCATCCTTGTTGCAGACCATCACAAAGGCGGTTCGTTGACCATCAGCCATTGGTCAACACCTGGCCACCAAGAAACAGCAACCAAAGCAAATTCACAACGCGGCTGAGGAGATTCACAGAGGCCTTTCAGCTGTTCTTCCATCTGGCACGGACAACAACCTGATTGTGCCCAGCCCGGCCTGAAGGAGCCATAAACAATTGCACAAGACTGGAGGCTGATACACTGAACTGTGGAACGACTCTATTCCGTGTTGTTGCACAGTTTAGCGAGGCCACAGCATCACAAAGTGTCTTCCTCCAACCTGCACCCAACACCCATCAACTCCTCCACGTTTCACAGATATCTGCCCACACTTTTGACGGGCAAAGGGACACGGAGTTGCAGCTGGCCACTTCAGGCGGTGACCATGACGCGCGGTGGCGGGCAAGACACAAATATACCAAACATATACCTAATACACCGAGGGCGCCACAGCGGCTCACACTTCCCCATCCTGGCGAAGCTGCGCACCATCCTGCCATGCCGTCATGGCACATCATCGCCACCTTCCGACGCACACGAGCGCGACTGTAGCAAGAGGCGGCGATGTCGCCTTGAGCGAGCGGGCTAATGGGAGGCCTCCCGCGCGTGCGGGAATGCCCCCCTGGCAACCAAGGCCACAATACGGATTCCCAGCAGCCCCTCGACTGCCACCACGCCAGGGACGCGGACGTGCGTTGGGCCTTCGAGCTCTCTGCCTCGCACCCTAAAATGGCTTGGTCCGCCTTCCTGCGCCCTGATGCGCGCCGACAGATGCCCATCAAGTGATCCACCCGCGCGCCGCTCAAAAAATCACCCCCGCCATGCAAGCTCCTCCCCGGAAATCCCCGACGCGAGACAAATTGTCTTCGCACGAGACGAGCCAAACGGGCCGCCACCTCGCCATCAGCCCCCCCCCCCCCCCCCCCGTTCCAACAGAGCCCATCAACGGCACATGCCAAAGCCCAGCGACACAAACTCCCACAGGACAGGCGCCCGCCGTGCTCCACTCTCCAAACAGTCCCAAACACATGATTCCGCCTCAAAAGCCCCCCCCGCGCTCACCTCGCCTCGCGCCTCCGTTTGTCGTGTAATCTGGCCCTTCGCTTCAGTCGGTCCCGGCAGCCGCTGCCCGTGAGCGCCGGGCCCTCGCACCAGGGCCAGCAGCGCGAGCGGCCTTGGGCGCGAGCAGCGAGGATCACGCCGTAGCAGGGGTCTCCTGAAAGCGTGTGTTTGCCGCTTTGGCGGTCGTGGAAGCAAGCGACTCCGCACGGCCTGTCGCGTGCAGTGCACCTCGCGCGGCCTGGACACCAGTGCAGGGCGTTGGGCAATCGGCAGTATGCGTTAGGCAATTTGGCTTGCCTACTTAACTCGGGCCGTCCCAGAGTTTATGTTACTGCTTACTATGTGCGCGGAGGGCGCACTTTGCCAGCTGCTGAGCAGCCAGTGGCGGATTCCGCGCCACACCGTGCTGCCTGCCCCCGCAGAGTCTTTACATAAGCACACCGGCAGCGTTCCCCACCGCTGCCGTTGGGCGAGCGCTAATGCCTGATGCTCCAAAGTGAGACTCAAGGGAATGAGGAGGGTCGTACTGGGTGCCGGAAACTGCGCCTGGTTCCGATGTTGGGAAGGAGGTTCGAATACAAGTCGCGAGTTGACTGATTGTCCAACAGTTGCAAATGCTCTGCAAATCCTGTGCCGGCGCTTTCGTGGCTGCACACGCGTCTCATTGTTTCCCGTTCAGGAATTCGGTGCCGTCAGAGCGGCCGCGGCACACGAGAGGATTGATGAAATGTGTAATCGCCAGCCTTCGTCCGCTTACATCACCATGTGGGCGCGCGTGACGAGCGCCATGGCGGTCTGAAGAACCCAGTGTCGCAGGTGGGGCTCGGCGAAGCTGGACAACGCGTGCCCGTTGCGCTGGAGACTCTTGGCACCTTCGCCGGTGAAGCGCAGCAGGAGCCACGTATTCATTTGTGGCGGACGCGCAAGCCCCAGACCAAGTTTTGTAAACTTCGCCAGAGTGCCGCACGCGGCCAGAAGGATGGTACGATGTAAGGCCTAACACTTTCGCAGTTTTATTTGGATGACGAAGCGACCGCCATGGGTCAATTTGACCAATAGCTTGGAGGATCGAAGCAGCGCCCCGTGGGGAGAGCTGGGAGTTCATGAGCACAAAATTGCCCCCCAGCAGTTCGAAACTGACCTGCATGAGTCTGCCTCAGCGTTCATTTTCAAAACGGTTATGGCTTAAAACATTCTCCTCGTTCAAGAATCGGTATCATATTACAATACGGAGGCTGGCCATAACCCGCAGCCCCAACCAGCATACCAGTCAGCAATCTTCATGTTTGGAATTTCCACATTGGATAGGTGTTCAGGCCAACAGCATACTCCTTTTCTCATAGAAATGGTGCCATATCTCCCAAGACAAGTGCTCGTTCTGCACCCATACATTCAGAATAGATCATTTACCACGAGTCAATGGGTCTTTGCTGCATTTAACATGTTCACTTGTCTCCTTTGACGATTCCACTGGCTATTCTTGCAGGTCCGTTGCATGCTATGCATTGCTTCGTGGACTGATTTGCGACGATCACAAGGGACCTGAACTTGTGACCCCTCCAATTCTCAGCGCCAAGATTGGATGGAAGTCAGTCGGATGGATCGATTTAAGTTAACGCAATATTGCCTTCCTTTCTTTGGTCCTGGAGTCTCAAGGGCAGCGGCACACACCTCACAGAATAGATGCATCAGGACATGTATTGAATTTGAGATTGCTCGCTTTCGCCCAACGCGTATCAGCCCTGGCCACCCACATCGCATTCCAAGGTAGACGCAGTTTGCGCTTGTGCCCTGGTACGAAATCACATCGAGATCAACAGCGCTATCATAGCCCTATCACGCATGACTCAATAACAAGAGGGCACTGTTCAGGCATCTGGTGTACTCCAGAGCGCTAGAACGCCAAAAGTGTTTCAAGTACTGTCTGCAACTAGTCCCGAACCTGCCATGTCACTGCAGCCCCATCCATTGATTCTCAATGCCATTGACTGGCTCGGTGCGCCATGTCTGCAGGTCTGCACATCCCACAATTTGCAAGGCCCTGGCTGCCTCCGACCATTCGACGGCGTTGAATCTGCGTGCTGCGCTCATGGCGGTCATACCCAATCTGCCACCGGTACTCGCGCTTCATGCACGCATTGCCCACGCCAGATCATTCTTCGAGAATCTGCTAATGTTGGACCGCCGTCTGACCCCTCAAAACGACTTCTGGATGGTCGGCAACGCTTCCCATATCGCACTCCGCGCGCGCGATCACCCTGATTAACAACAGCAACGCCCCACCTTGAAGTAGCCACCATCCATTAATCAATGACGCAGCCATGCGCATTTGCGGTGGCTAATCTCTTGCATGAGAGCTTAGGACCAGCGTTCAAGGTCGAGAAGGCCCAGGCGCTCCGTCTCATGCAAGCTGCTTGTGCCGCCGCACCACAGCGAGTGTGCAATCAGCGGAATCTGCAGTGTCTGTCACGGAATCGACGCTAATGCTTCGTCATTTCTTGTGCAATGGCTCTGCCCTCGACACTTTTATCGACTCTGTATCGCACAAAACAAGATGGTCGTGCATCTTCAGCTGTACCCATTCAGAATTCTGTGGAAGTGCTCCTTCATTTTTAGCCTGGTGCCCCGACGGGGCATCATGTTCTCTGCGCATTCACACGCAGATACCCCAGCGGCACATGCCCGTGGATTCCCTGTGTCAGTATTGCGGGCGTGGAATCGGGAAACTCTCACCACCGGAGATATCGGAGATATCGAAGATGTCGGGGCAGCCCGTGCCCCCGTGCCCATGCATCCCTTTACTAATCATCCCCCAATCTGCCAGAAACGTTTCCCGCCAACAATTTCGCCCGATCCCCGGGCACCCTGAGGCTTCCCCCCCCCCCCCCAACCGACGGCGCCACAGCCCACGCGGACAGGCCTCCCGGTGGCCGCCGCCCCCTGGACGCCCGCTTCGGGCACGCCGGCAAGCCTCTGCCCCAAGCGGAGCCCACCCAACCCGCGCCGGCTCAATGCCGCATGTGCGCATCCCGGGATTCGCGCACTTCTCCATCGTGGCCTCAGCCGTGACCCTCTCTCGCGTCGATCTGTGCTGACGATGCGTGTCTACGACTTGTGCGCTGTTGCAGCGGCGGCGGCAGAGGCACCAAGGGGCGGAGGATTGGAGTCGTTGTGAAAGCTGCTCTGCGCGTTCGGCGTAACTGCAGCGGGCCTGGGACCCCCGTCGGCGCGGACGTCTGGGCATGGCGCTCCCTTCCCTGGGGGAGGTCTTCAACTCCATAGCGGGCCTTGGGATGCCGGTGGTGGGGGCGCCCTCCCGCGCCCACATGCAGTGCAGCACGCTGCTGTGAGTCGACCTCAGCCGCGGCGCCCCTCAATGCCCTTGCGCCAGTTGCTGACGAAGCGAGACCGAAAAAAACCCACGCGAATGGCGCTTATGGCTCCCAGGGCTCCGCCGCAGAACCTTTTACGAAGCAGAAAGCCCCGCAGCTGTTTTTGCTTGCAACATGAGGTCCCCCACCCCAGTGACCCGCCGCCCGCCTCAATTCCCTGTTGCCGCTGGCGCGCCAATGCCCCTCCCTGACAGCCCCTCTCCCTCGGAGGTTCTACATCACCTTTTCACAGCATGGAAAAGAGTCCCCCATGTTCGTTTAGAAGAGGATGCCCTTTGTATGGCCTGTTTCTTTCTCTCTGTAACAATTCTCCCCCATCCCCACCCCCTTCCGCAGATGGACCTGCTTCCGTCGCGACCCCGAGGCCTTCGACACCGACTTCCGCCCCATCCTGGACTTCCTGCTCTGCTGTCCGGACGCCCAGGAGGCCGCCATGCGGTCCGCCGCCCTCTTCCTGGCGCGCGCGCCCGCGCCCGACTGCGAGACCTACGCCGAGGGCGTGATCGACTACTTGCGCGAGCGCACACGCTCGGGGGGCGCACAGCAGCGCCTGCGGTGCTGCAAGCTGCTGCGCTACCTGCTGGACGAGTGGGACGAAGAGTACCAAGTGGACTCCGGGCTGGCGGAGGCCCTGTGCGGGGCGCTGATGGGCCGGCTGGCCGACGTGAACAAGGGGGTGCGCGCGCAGGCGGCGCTGGCGCTGCAGAGGCTCAGGGACCCCGGCGAGGGGGGAGAGTTCGATAGGGACGCGGTGACCGGGCGACTGTTGGAGGTGCTGAGGTACGGATCCAGCTGCCCTGGCGGCTGCTGCGGCGCTGTTGAGGTGGATGGCTTGATCCCTGGAACGTAACCACGTGTTGTGCTGGTTTTGCGGGGCCGAGTGTCCGCGTGCGGGGACAGTCGAACTGGATTTGGTCGCCGGGTGGGAGGCTAGGTAGCTGTGGACGGCTGGAGTGACTTTGGCCGGCAATCCGCAGCACCGTTCCCAGCGATGGGAGGGGCTTGGATCTCGGCATTCCAGGGCGTTGTGTGGCCATGGACTCCGCCCTTGTGCTGTGAAGGCCTTTTTCTTTCTTTCATTCAACGATCTCACCTCAATGCTTGTGTGGCATTGCAGATGTGAGAATACCGCAGAGGTGCGGTCGGCCGTCTTGGCCAGCCTGGGTGACTTCATGACCCACAATACACTCCCCGCTGTTTTCGAGAGGACACTGGACGAGGCGGTTCTGGTCCGAAGCGTGGCGTTCAAGCTGTTGGGCAGCAGGAGGGCCTTGAAGCTCCTTGGGGCCGAGCAGAGGGCCGCGTTGGTCCGAAGGGGCACCAGGGACTGTAGCCCAAAGGTGCAGCAGACGGCTGCACAGATGCTGCAGTGCTGGCTCGCGGAGGTGGATGGCAACCTGCTACACTTCCTGTGGCTGTTCGACGTTCAGAATTTCGAGCAGGAGGCGGAGGACGCCCTGAGGACAGTGATGGATCTGGATGCTAACATTGTCTCGACTGTGGACAGCCTCCTGGCGTCAGGGGAGGGCCTTGGGGATGGTCAAGCTGGGGTCATCGACCTTGTGAGGTCAATGTTCTGGAGGGTGGTGTGCCTGCGGCTGAAGACAACTGCCGAGAGACTGGCTGCTGCAGCGGCAAATGCAGTGGGTGCACAGGCAACCACCCAAGCCACACTCTCGGAGAGCATCAGGGATTGCATGGACACGGTCATCCCCAGCACGACCCAGAGGCTGGTGGAGATGATTGGAAATCACACTGGTCCCATGGTGGAGCTTAGGTTCTCGGCACGGCAGCTGCTTTGCATCTTGGCTAGTTGCAGTGACTTGGCGGACGCTGCTGACAGGGCGGCAGTGGTGGAGCTGCTTCCACACCTCTGGCAGCTGCCCCCAGTTGGGGAGGCGTCGGAACACAAAAAATGGGTGCAGGCAGTAATGGATGTGGCAGGTTGCGTCCACACCACACACACAGCACTCGTGGAGGCCACTCTGGAAGTGCTGGAGCCGTGGGCGAAGGCGCTGGAAACGGGGAACAAGGATGCTGGCCTGGACGCCGCACTCCGTGTCCATTTCCTGGATGTGCTTGCCGCCCTGCTTGCAAGGGTGCCAAGGTCCCGTGGCGCAGCATCAGCTGGCTGCACCAGCTTGCGGCTGTCTGACTGCCTGGCCATTCTGAACCTGCTGATGCATGACGGCTCCTCATTGGTGAGGGTGCGGGTTGTGTTGTGCATCGGCCTCTACCTGCTGATTGACTTCACTGAGCCCGTGAGGGACGCTGTTCCCTGGCTGATTGATCAGGTGAGGTCTGGGGATGTGGGGATCCAGATCGCTGCCTGCAGGGCACTGTGCGACCTGGCGTTGGCCTATGGGGCCAAGCTCCTGGGATCGGCAGAGGGGCTGGTGGAGATGCTGGTTCAGCATGTTCCCAGCAGTGGGGAGTGGCACAGCCGGGCTGGCCGAGTGCGGAACACCCCGGAGATGTCTGCATCGCAGCATGAGCTGATCAGGGTGCTGGCAGAGGGCCTTGCAAAGCTTGTGCTTGCCAACCACAAACACCCGCTGCAGCAGATGGACGCGGGGGACAGGCGGCGGTGCCTGGAGGTTCTGGCTGGCCTTCAGTTCGACCCTGTGAACCAGGACAGCGTCAGTCTGCACAGGATGCTGCACATATTTTTTGACACCTACGTGGGCATATCTGACGATAGCAAGAAGGAATTGGAGGATGTCATGGTAGGTGCCCGCCCAATGGGTGCACTTGGCAAAGGTGCAGAAGGCAGTGCCATTTGGCTTCAAGACGATGACGAGCACGGTCTCATCTGATTGTACATTGCATTGCAGCGTTTTTTTCTGAACTTGCAGTCTGTCATGTCTGTTTTTTTGGGTCCATGGTGGACTTGCAGTGTGGCAAAATAAGATGTCAACGAGGAAAACTGCAACTCTACTTGAATGCCACTTTAACCCTGCAGGGTTTATTCACTTTGTGTTACTTTTGGTGGACCATCAGTTGTGCCTGTTGTGCCAGCTACTATTTGGCTGCCAACTGATGGGAGGCAGTACTCTTTCTGTCTGAGATAGCAAGCGTTGATATGGAGCATACAAATCAAATGTTGGCAAGGATGTTGGAATGAGGGCTGTTGTGCACAATTCACTGCTGTGAACTGCAAGCCTCTTTACCTGTTTCTCGAACTTCCAACTGTAACACACAGTTGCTCGTTTTAACTATGCATTTCCCTGCTGTATGCTTATTTTGGAGAAGGATTGGACCGAGTTAAACTGCCTATGGAAGATACCATTCCTGGCAGAGGTGCGTGCTGGCGACTTTGCCTGACTTTGCTGATTTACGTCAATTGTGAATGTTGAATGGGGCAAACAACAGTTTCTTATAAAGCAAAGCACGAATCCATATGCACTGCAAGCTACAGGATGTCCTACTGGTAGCGAAACGGCATGAGCATTCGTGCCTTAAAAGGATATCTTGCTGAGCAATATCACTAAGAAACACGGGGGGCCGTGTGTGCTGCCCGTTGTTCCTCAGTGTGGACCTCTTATTTTTGTAGGGGTGGCCTTTCCATTGAGGAGCCAAAAAAGACACAAACATCGCACCTGGGCGCACATGCTGTTTTTCGTGTCTCTAGCACTGGCCTGCAGTTCAGTACTGTTACGTGGCACTGCAGGCACTTTCACTTTTGGTGTCGAAGCAACAGCAGCCGGATTCTGTATTTCCTGATGCCATTGACACTTTGTGTGCACTCGCCTCTGCAGGCCTCTCTGCAAGACGCACCACGAAGACGGGCGCCAACACGCCCTGAGACGATTTCGGAAGGGGACGAAGACGATTCCGACTTCTAGGCAGCCGTCGAAAGCCCCCATCTGTGTTCCAAGCGGCTGCGGCATGCACATCGTGATTTATTGTCCATGAATGTCATCCATCCTAATTAGCTGTTTGCACATCATCCACTGCATTGCATTCAGGCCGTTTAGCAACAACGTTATTGAGTCAAAGTCGCAAAACCATTCGCAAAATGAACGCCATTTGTCCCAAAGATCTCAGAAAGCCGGGTAAGCAGAGTCTGAGGGTAGTCGTGCTGTTGTGAAGACCCGTGGTCCGTACCATTTTGTCGAGATAAATTCCTTTTAAGCACGTTGAAATGAACGTTACAATGCACCGTCCGTGCACAAGGCAATGGAGGGTATAGTGACTACATGGTCAGAAACAGAAAGATTGGGTCGCAAACCCCTTGACTACCAGTTTTTGAGAGAACAAGTCGCTTTCTCAGCAACATCGCAAAATCAAGTTTTTTCTGGCATGGGAACCCTTGCTGCAAAGTGCTGACAAATCCACAATAATTGATGAATTGACCTGAAATTTGGACCCATACTCCCAACTCATGGACACAACTTTGGCCCAAATGTCGAAAGAATTGAAGTCTATGTGATGGAGAAGCATGGCATCAAAGTCATGGGGATATCTAACTTGGGGGACATTGGACGAAGGATTCGACTATACTGTAGCCGCTTCCTGTCCAGCGGAGAGTCCAGTGCCCACGTTGCCATGCGAGGATCTCGGCTGTGATGCAAGACCATCATGGCAAGCCTCGTTATGCAGCGTGTGCCACACCTATGACGTCGCCTCGTCGCATGGTTGCAATGCATCAAGTCAAAGTGCACTGGCAAGCATTGCACACTGTGCCACTTTTTTCTGTCGAATTCCGGGACGATAGCCGCATGTACCATACGATTGTGCCCCTGACACGTATAGACTTTCTTTCTCTGCCATTTTGGTTCTTCGACACCTCAGAAATGTTCGACACACGTTTATGCTGCACGATCAATGGCGCTCTGTTGAAGGTATGGCCATTCAAGGCCATCCTTTGGAGTGCGCTTTGGAAGCTGGCGATTGCAGCGCTCCCTTGGAGTCCGTTGCGGCCATCCTTGGACCAAACTCACAGACGAGCAACCTTGGGCTTACATATTTGTTCGCTCTTCCCACAACAGAGTCTTGCCGCCGCCGCCGGCAACGACCCCCACTCAGAATTCCTTTTTTCGCAACCACTCACCCACCCTTTTCACTCCCAAGGATTGTCATCAATCACAAATGCCCATATGACAATTCAACCCCATGCCACCTCATCACTAAGGTGCAACCAACGTATGGAACATGCCACAGCTTCCCTTTCACTCAGAATTCAAAACAACACAATTCTGACTACTCAGGTGCCACATATGGTCATTTCCAAACGCCCCCACTGCAAAGTGCAAGTACAACACATCTTGCAAACCAAAGTGAAAGTAGAGGGCGGTCACAATGCTGTAAAGCTTCGGGAAACACACATCCGGAACTTCCCCACAACACACCCTTGCATCTTGCGGACAAGACACTATGACCAAGGCATCTCTATGTGAATTGCAGGACATTCTTTCATCAAGCTCATGTTGTCCTCAACAAACATGAGTGTGATCAAAAACTACCTCAAGAACCAAATTCAAAACCAGAATTCACTCACAGAAATGGCTAATCCGACCTTTTATAAAACATGCGCCAATCTTCAAGCAAAGGAGTATGCACAGGCTAGAAGCTCAATGCTGCACCAGGGAAAGAGACATCCTGTGTGCCCCTCCAAGGAAAGTAACATCTTGGTGGGAGTAACCTTTGCAAGTTTCATAGCTGTTAAATATAATTACCAGCATTAGAATACAATAGTTCCTAGATGCTGGTTTAAAGGGGTATTAACATACATTTACATGCATACTGATGTGCGAAGGTTACGGGCTGGAAGATGAAGTCAATACAAGGACAAGCTTGATGAATCTGGCCGGAAGAAGAATATGATGACTTTGGTGGAGGCAGGGCATCTATGAATCGTCAAAGATGTTTCGAATTGGGAGTCCTATAGGATGAGAACTTTTCAGGACAAGATGGAATGGATAGTGGGGATTGGCATGGCAGCTGAACATGAGCGAGATGTGATGAAAGGGGAATGTCAATCATTGTAAGATTGACTGAGTGAGAAATATATGAAGTCGAAGGATGATTGAGTCTGGGTGAATGGACTATGGCTGTGCCATGCATAAGTTTCTTTGGAAGACCCACTTCAAGAACATTGCATTACTGTATAACCGTGAGATTTCGAAGCGACAACTGTCCTTTTATAAAAGAAAGGAGACTCCAAGGATATGGCAGGAAAGAGCGTTTGCCAAAGATTCGATATGGCCTAAGGTGTACCACGGTACAAGGAAAAAAGACGGTTGAAAAGAAACGGAAAAGAAGACATATGTTAGACATCACAAGTGATCGAAAAAAAAGCTAATAAGGTTAGGCTGAGAATGCGCTTGATGATACAAGTCGGATGTGACAAGCCCATGCGATTATAATAGCCTGTTACGACTACAAAGATAGTGGATATTCAAACGACGCTATGCGCTGAAATCACTAGAATGGGTTTGGAATCCGTATACACGCGATTAACGCCCAAAACGAGGGTATGTACCAGCGTCGCTTGACGGCAAGAGTGCACACCGTATCATCCTGCGGGGCGAGGCAAATACGCTCGATCGCTGGCCGTCCATACTGGTAGATCAGCAAGACAATTTTGGAAGAGTCAATGGACTCACCTGCGGCCAATAATGGCTGAGGAGTTGAATCAGCTCAATGATTCAAGATAACGAAAAGACAGGCAGTAAAGGAATTGATTCAAAGAGGGGGTGACATAGATAGTCATGGAACATAGGGGCTGGTGAGGGGGCAGGGCCTCACGATCATCCGTAAGGCCGCCAAGTGCAATGCCCTGCAGTGCGCCATGAGTCACACTCCTGGCCAATCTGATGCCAGCCATGTGCACGCAGTCACACCTAGACGTATGTCCTGACATATTGGAAAGTGTGTGCAAGCACGCCGTACGTTATGACATACCGCAAAAAAGCACATGCGCAGTCATGCGCTCCGTCAACCTTGGTAGCCGTACGATCGCTCGAGAGGGTTCCCTGGGGACCCGTTCTAGAGGGATAAGAGAGCGCGGGAAAGGGTGTTGCGGCGCGAAGGGCGAGCGGAACACATCGCCCCCGAACTGCCTGACGAGTGCGAGGAAGAGACCTGGACATGGCAGACCTGGTCGGCGCGCCATCCATGGGAATGTTGGCCAGGATGCCCTCGCTCCACCACCTCCAGAACCGAGAGTCAACGGCCCGCCTCTTGAGGTTCAGGCATGCCTCCGCGAGGCCCTGGATGGACCGGTGGGCGTGCCATTACCATGGACTGCCCCGACGGGAAGGGGCCTGCCTCAGTGGTGGGCCCGCGCTGCTTATGAGTGGACTTGGCGTTGGAGGCTTGAGCGGACAGACCAGCCGCTCAGGTTGAAGATTCGCGCCTTCGTTGTGTGCGCAGTCCCAACATTTCGTTGGGGTCTTGCACTGCGTCAGAGGGTGAGGATCCGCCTCCAGGGATGCCGAAGGCGTTGGACTAAGGAGCACAATGAAGTTTGGACGATCGCGGAGCGCGATACAATGCACAAGAAGCCGAAGGCTTTTGGATACAAGGGGGAAGGTCCAGCCATCCACCCCGCCGAAGGCCAAGGAGGTGCGCCGTTGGCATTTCTGCTTCGGTCGGAGGATTTGCGGTGGGAGGTGGTCACCGCCTCCAAGGTTAAGGCGTGGATAAGCTTCCGCGGAACCTTCCCCCTTGTTGATTATTTGGAGGGGATGTGGCTGGCGGACGCCTTGACCCGTCGTGAAGAAAAGCAAGCCGACAGGGCGAGGAGATTGGCGCTTGAATCCCAGTTGCCGCCCAGTTGGACGGTAACGTACTGGGAGCGTTTCAACGAACGACTCCGGCGGGGGACCCCAAGTGCCCGCGCGCATGCGGAGGAGGCGTTTGCATGGGGCCCCGGCTGGGTGCACCAGCCGGGGGACCCCAATTACTATGGTAACCGAGAGTGCGAGTGGTGCACAGCGGACTCTATGTATCCCATGTGCACCTTCGCACGCTCGAAGGGCAAGACTGCTGAATCTTTGGTCACCACGGATGAGGAGTGGGTAAAAAGGGAGAGCGAGGGCGTTATGGGCCCCCCCGGATGGGAGCCGCGCCAGTTTGTTCGCCTCGGGTTCCTGGACCAAGAAGAGGATCCCGGCTAGGGAGGACTGCAAGGAACCGGCGCGCATGGACATGCGCAGGCTGCGGACGAGGGGCGGGGGCTGGCGCGCGATGGCGATGGCCTGCTCGGGGGAACGCGGGCTGCGCCAGGGACCGAAGGGGCCGAATTCGTCATCATTGGCGAAGGCCCGCGTGCGGCAGACGCCGAGATGTACGACGGCGATGGGGAGTACAGCGGGGAGCCGAGCATCGGGGGCGGAAGGCGATCGGGGTCGGACAGCGAAGATGGCGGTTGGAGGATCATACATAGAATGCCCTGAACTGAAGTGACGTTATGGGGAAGTGGTTGTGTGATCTGAGTGGATCAAAATAAGCTTGCAGTTCATGTTGTGATCCGAAGTATCACTGAAGTGACCTGGTATGAGTGATTGATTTGACATGAACGGATAAATATGATGAACTGGATAATAGAAAGTGACGGGTAATAATAGAGAAAGATAATATTGACGATGTAATGGATTAAATTGCAGTGAGTAATGGATCTGGACGCTTTGTGAGAGATGACATGGGCTATGAGTGCCTTGAACCTGGGCGGTTATGGGATCAGCATACTCCCATGATATAGACATGCTAATGATCAGAAGATTGAACGGGAAGCTGAGGGAGAAAGGAAGGGATGATCCGGGAAGTTAGCTGGATCTGATCGGAATCTTTCAGGGAATATTCCTGGCGTAGGGACAGCCGCTACGGGCTATAAATAGCGGGGCAGAACCCCATTTGGACAAGCGGCTCCGACTCCGAAGTGGCCAGTCCCAAAGCCAATAGGCGGAGGGACTTGGTAACCTAAACTTTGAACCGCTCTTTGTAGTACAGGTTGTGGCCCGTGGAGGGTCACGGTGTAATTGAATTCGGAGTTCATTTTCTCAATCTTTGTCTCATTTAAAGAGTCATTTTACTGATTATAGACTGGTCTATTGGGAAAACCTGCGGGGCCCCAAACCGTCTATAAATTCAGTAAGGACTCTTGGCCGGATCTACTGGGGAAGCCTGCGGGGTCCCAGATCCGGCCCTGTACTTAGTGGGGAAGCCTTCGGGGCTCCCACTAAAGTACAGTAGTGAAGACTAAAGTACTGAACTCATAAATATAATTAATATATACTGCAATCCTGAAAGCCTTTCGAAAAGGCTATTGATGTTTTGATCCTTGAAGTGGGAACCAATCTGAGTGCGGCTAGAAACGACAAAACAGGGAGGTAAGCAATCAAGGTAAGATAAAGTTGAGTCAATTGCGTGATTAGTAAAGGTCAGTCCGAAACTGCGAGAGTACTGCCTCAGAAAGGTCCAGTACTGAAGGGAAACAGAGGTTGAAAGTAGTGCGAATTAGTTACAATACTTGGAACATACAAAACCATCCTATTATAGTTTAAATCTTGTCCAATGAGGAATCAAAGGGCATGAGTCACATCAAAAAGAAAGAGGACAAATCTTGCTGCCCCCCTCAGGTGCTGACGCCTGCATCTAAGCCCGGTAGTGTAGTGTGTCCCCCAGCTCCTGTGAAGGACAATCTACAGAGAAACACACAGGACGCTCAGAAGCAATCCCTAACCAGAAGTCAAATTCGCCAGCTGCGAAAGAGTTGGAGTGAGCTGTCAGAGAAAGTGATTGAGAAGTAGTTCACACGTTGTCATAAGATCTTTCTCCTAAATTAAAGATAAACTGGACGTGAAGGTGTATGCTGATGATGTGCTAATATCTTTGGGCACTGTACGTAGTCAAGGTATCAGCCCAAAGGATTGGCTGGGCATTTTCATCAACACTGACCAGTTGTTGAAATTCTGGAAAGTTGCAGGTGGTCTATTCCTGACATTATTCAGTGCAAATTTACTCATTTGTGGTCCTGTCATTTCTGCGCGCCTTACAAGAGCGTTCAATCGGGTGTTCAACCAGTTGAGGAGCAATTTGCTGTCATTTATGCGCGGGGAATCCCTCCAGCTTGCCGGTCTGGCCAGGGAGATATCCAGATTGAAAGGACAATTGAATTTCCTGTGGAACTCTGAGCGCATAAGGCGTTTTCAGAACAGTCGGGAAAGGGAAGCAGCACCCAACACGTCATTGCCTGTAACAGGTGTGACTGCTGGTTCGGTCACCAGCCCAATCAATTTTCAGCTGGTCTGTGCCTTTGCAGCTGGAATAGCAATAGGTTGTTGTGTTTCATTGGGATCCCTCTGTTTGGGGATCTGGATTGGACATATTATCTAGATTAAATACACGTGGCCGTGACTCACCAGCCGTATTTGGCAGTCACACACAATGGCCATCGAACACCTATTGCGGTCACCCTGTGCTGATGTCTGCTCTCATGTTGAGCGCTGTGCGCTCAAAGAGGAAAACCCAGAGTTCTAGTACACAAGCAAAAAATTGGCGAAGATACACGGTTTGGAACCTCGTGAAAATCGCGTAAAACCGTGCCTAAGCATGTCGAAATCATGTGCAGCCATTCATTCGTTTACTGCACGGTTTGGCCCCATTTTTGTACGATAGATACACTATTTTGACCAGGCTTGGTCTTTACGCCGTAAAAACTGATCGTATTTACGGTTTTTCGCCTAAAAACAGTTTTTTACGTTTTTACGCGTAAAAATGCGCAAAAATACGTAAATGCAACGTAAAAACAGCTTGTATTACATAAGGACAGTACATGCAGAATTGCGGAGTTCGGAGAGTGGCAGCCAGATGCCCTGGAAGGGGCAGAAAAAGAGTTTTTGTTACACCCCATCATCGCCCTTGCCAAGGGCAATGTAGACATTGTGCTGTGGGTGCTGGAGATGGCGGAGCACTGATCATTGTACGCAACTTTCATCGTGTAACCTGGGTGTCGCAGGGACCCGTAAAAACGTAAAAATGGCCGTAAAACTAGGCCCTTTTGCAAATTTACGTTTTTACGCGTAAAAAACGTAAAAGTAAAAACGTAAACGTAAACGTAAAAACCAAGCCTGATTTTGACATGATATTCAACAGTGTTACGCAGTACACGATTTTTAAATCCCTGTACGTTGGCCTGTATTTTAATAGTGGTGTGTTGCGCTGGGGACTGGGCGCACACATTTTCGCACTGCTCCACACACACACACACACACACACACACACCTCCCCCCGGGGTTGCAATATTGACCAGGCTTGTCAAATGCTTCCTCTGTCTCAAATTAAATGAAACAACGGCCCCTCGACCAGGTCGGTTTGCGACCGTTGGTGCGCAACGCAGAGTGGATATTTGCAGCCGCCGCTGTGGCTGCAGGTCGGAGGCGCTCCTCTCGAAGCGCAGAAGGCGCAGAACGGAGCTCTGAACCGATCGATCGCCCACCGTAACCGCGGATTCGACAGCCCATTCAGCGTTTCAGATTTGGAACTGAAGCCGAGAAATCGGCGAACTTCACAACCACGGCTGTTCTGGAAGGCGATAATGCCATGGGCGGGGTGTCCGCAAGTGTTTAGGTACTGATACCTGGTCAGGCACGATGCACAGCTGTTGGCGCAACCGAACGCAAACGCGACGTCCCAATGCTTTTAAATGAGCCAACTTGTTCATTAACAAGCGTTGTGCCCAAACTTTGGAACTTGTTCGTGAGACCTCATGAGGGATTCTGGTATGCAGGCCGGCATAGTTAGGCCTAGGCCTAATTCCTCGGCAAATTTCAGAATTGACCATGACTCAACAGACTGCATGTGATGCCGCACGTTACCTGCGAAGCCACGTGGTGGCCACCGTTTCTCTGGGAGGGGTGAATGGTGTCCCATGGCTGGCGATATGTCCAATGCAGGCCAATCGATTGGCCCGCAATTCTAAAAGCGTCATTCTTTCTGCGGGATGGCCGCCACTGCAAGAACATGGGAAGACTAAACTCGCATGAAATAATGTACAAGAAAGAGAAAGTGCGAAGTGCGTCATGAAGATTCTTGAAATCTACTTCTTTGACAGAACGCTGGAGTTGCTTGACCTAATTTGGTTCGTGGAACCTTTCTCGATCGCATTCATTTACTTTGGAAACGAAGTATTCTGTAGCGTTTAGGGAGAGCCCGAGTCTTTTGGGGGCTCCACTTGTTTTGATCTTGTGACTAGCAGGTCCATTTGGGCTCGGAAACTTCGCAACGTGGCCCAAGGCAAGCCGCCGATGTGTCATGTACCGATGAACCCATAAGCCCAAGGACACCATGTGCCAATGAACAGCTGCGGATTCGGTGTGCACTGCCGAGGCGCCCTTGTGCCTGATTCTGGCCCTCGCTGGGTGAAATTGGCGATTGACAAAATCAAAGCTGGAGAGCAAACTCGATCACCACACTCAGATTGTGCGTGAGGTAGGATCTGACCCGTGCTCAGGTCGAACCAAGAGGTCGACGCATTGGTGACACGAACGCTGACTGCTGCGAGAACTCCAACGTCGACAGGCTCTGAACACGAGTTCGAGTTCCGAGCCTCAGCTAACAATCACGGCAAACTCCTGCTGTTCATTTGCAATCCGCCGCCAGCAATCGACAGCCGCCTTCAACGGGGTTAACGTGGATGCTGCGCAGCCAAGGGGCGCGGCGCCCGTTCAAAAGGACGCTCCTGCCCCGGCTGCTCACAATCATGTCAACGCTGCCCAACTCCACGTACTGCTGATGGGAGGGGACCCCGCCCAGGTCACCCCAGGAACAGCTCCAGCACTAATTTCCGTGCTGTCACATCCGGTGACACAGCGAGGAGACCACACCACGCGGCCCCGCCCGGGCTGCTCACACATCGACGCGGAGTCGCAGCGAGCTGGATTTTCTCCCCCAGTGCAGGTACGAATTCGAACAGAAACTCACGGCCGTCAAAAGCCGGCATGCAGGCGCCGTGCGGGCCCCGGGGCACAATGCAGGACCCCTCGCCTCCGCCGCAGCGCATCACGTCCTGCCATGCCACCGACCTCCAACAGGCAACCCCACCTGCCAAGAACCTCGACGCTGGCAAAGGGCCGCGCGAGCGGCGAAAGGAACGGGGCCTCTGCGGCCCTCGACCGACCTGGGGGGCCCCACGCCGAGGGGCAGACATCCGTGCCTGGCCCGACCGCCCCAGACGGTTAGTCATATGGGGTGGGATCGTTGGGAGCCCCGCCACGGCTGGCAGGAGGGGCGCCTGCTGGTGTGTAGTGCCGCGAAGGCGCCCGGCGCTCTTATGCCCACCCTCTTGGTTGAGATCGATCCTGCGGCAGGTCAAACCGATAGTATGTTTATCCTCTACACGCGCAGCGTACCTTGACTGGGCCCCCAACGCACATCGCAAGCCGCTCCGCGACCCCCGCGCCACAGACGCCTTCAGCGGCCGCCACCGCCGCCCTCCGCCGCCAAGTGCTCTGGTGTCCACGCCGGGGCGGCCCACCCCCCCGACCTTGCGTCCGCCCTGTGTGCGATCGCGCCACACCGAGCGCAGGTATGCCTGAAGGAGCTGACGCCGAGCCAAAGGACGGGTCTCCCGGCGGGGCCAGCCCTCCGGAGGCCGACGACTTGGGGCCCAAGCGGCTAAAGGTGGATCTGGCGGCCAGCGTGGGGCAGCAGGAACGGGCGGATCGCGACAAGCTGGACTTCGAGGAGATCCGGCGGATGGTTTTGGAGGATGAGAACGGCCCTGCGCCGCAGCTACGCACACGCGTTGACCTGGGGTCCGGGACGTACGCCCAGGCGGTGGCGCCCGACGCGGAGAAGGTGTTCGTCAACGTTGGGCTGGGGTTTCACGTGGAGTGCGAGTGGCAGGACGCGGAGAGGATAGCGCAGCTGAAGCGGGAGGCGTTGGACGCACGGGCCAACGAGGGGGAGGGGGAGGCGCGCGGGGGCGGCGGAACGGTCTGCGATGGCGAGAAGTAGGGGGGAAGGGGCGGCTCGCGGGCCCCCAGGGGCGGAATCTTTCTCTTAGTGCCGATCTGGGCGCGTTGTTAGTGAGCTGCTGACCCCTGGCTGGCCCTGGGCCCTTTTTTTGGAAGTTGAACTGAAGAACTTGTGTGCTGCATTTTCGGTCCTTTTTTGGCGCGCGTGCGCCCGAACCGACGCGGAGGCGTTCCGGGAGCGCGCGGGAGGCGGGGGGGGCTGGTGGGGTGGCAAGGAGGGCTGCTTTGTCGGCTGCACAGTGACATAGCGCCGGAGTGTCACGAGTGCTGGTCCAGTCTCGCCGGTGGGGTAGCGGCAGGTGGCGGCTGGTGTCAAGTCAGTCTTTCGCTCGCCTCCGCGGTGGGACCGCTTCATCGAGTGTTGTGGTGGCTGGACTATTGCTTTTGTTTTGTCGTGAATCGTGGTGGGGGGCTGACGGCTCGCGGTCGCCTCCTGGTCGCCGCGGCAATTTTTCATAGTGTTGGTGTCCGTGTGTGGGAATTGTCCGCCTGGGTGGAGCAAGGATAGGACTGTGAGAGGATCAATCCCCTGTTCTTTCATTAGTTATCTGTTATTGGGTGTCCGGTGTTTGAGGTGGCGTTGGAGGTGGGGGCTGTTGGGGATTCGAAACTGACGGCGAGACTTCTTGTGTTGGCATGTTGGTTGACTGCGTGTGTGGAAAACATGCTTGTGGTGGCCTGTTGAACTGTTTGCAGCGGTTTGGCCCCACCCCCCACCCCCACCCCCACCCCCCCACCCCACCTGCTGGAGTCCTGGCATGCCTGGGTTCCTGGTCCGCCCCACACACCAGTTGTTGGCAACGATCACAATGTCCAGCTGCAGACAGCAGCATTGGTCATTGGGTGTCGGAGCACATGCTGCTGCCTGCTACCCCACATGCGTGCCCTTTTTGCATGCTTGTGTGTAATTCTGCTTCCACGTGTGTTGGTGTTCTGGGTGGTTTGTGTGCAAGTCCAACTCACATCCAAAGGTTCTGTGGGGCAACGTATTGTGGGAGCGCCCATGAGTCTGAAACTTCCAGACAAGGATCAGGCCTTCACTTCAGCGTTGCTGTGGCAAAGCCTGTTCTGGAAGCTTCCTTGTGTGATTGGAATTCTGGATGGCACAAACCTCCCTTCTTGTCAGTGTAAGGATGTTGACTGTTTGCGTGTGGATATGCATGTGTTGACTTATCAACGACGGTTGCAGAGGCCGAGATTGTGGCAGGCTGTGCACGCTGATGTTCATGCCACAAGAGCTTTCTGTGCGACGCACTCAAGCGGTGCGAGGCTTTTCTAACACATGCACGACTGAGCACTGTCCAAGGCCTGTTAGAATTTGTCGGGTTGTTGCTGCGCTTCCCATCAACACTCGCGCCCCCAAAGCCACTATCAACAGCAACAGCAACAACAAAGGTTGTCTTCACCTACTTGCCACGCATTTCTCCATGGCTATAAGACCTCCACACCACCGCCGCAGCATTGAGAATGTCTCAGCAATCTTGGGAAAATGAGGGAAACTAAGCGACAGAATGCCATTCTGTGCATTCCTGCGTTCCATCACACAATCGCAAGTTTTGCAGCGCAAGCCCGTCTGGTTTGCAACGGTACCGTTCAGACCAATCTGTGACTCCTGCGTTGCTTTTGGGACACGTAGACAAGGCGCCCCTGCCGTGAAAGGATGAGACATCGGACGGCATCCGGCACACGACACAGAACAGCCCCTGCCCGATAGTCTGCCTTGATCCCCGCTATTCAGTTCTCGTCCTGAACATCTAACACAGCACGTGTCGTGCATCGTAACAGTGTGAGGCTGCCGGCGCGCACCACAGCACAAAGTACTGCGTTCGACTTGCCCAACCAAATCCACCACGGGGGCGCGACACGGGCTCTGTGCACCACAACGGATGGCGCACCAGTTGTTCCACTGTCGGGCTGCCAGGCGGGCCGACATGTGTCGGAAATTCCGGTGGGTGGGAGGGTTCAGCGCCTGGGGCTTCCACAGACACTCCACCCCCAAGGCGTGGCCCAGATCGGCTGGCGGCCCGTGGTTGCTCGAGCGACCACGGCGTGTGGCTGGTGAGTTTTGGGCTGAGCGATGCGAGTGAGATCCATAGCGGCGCCAAGGAGGGCAGCGCCACGCCGCCGCCAGGAAGCCAGTTGCGAAGTCGCTTTTCCAATCGCAGGGTTAGTTGACTTTCGATTGCGGCCGTCGCGGGCCGTTCCATGAACGCGCCTTCGCGGTCTGTCGCTGCGCCGTTCTGCACCCACGGTTGACGCGCAGAAGTTGCTTGCATTGATCGGCTGTCGGGGCGCCCCTGTCGCCGCGGTGCACCCCAAGCGGGGATGGCCTTTCTCGCGCAAGTCTTGTGGCTGGCGGTCAATGGCCACCAACGCGGAGGCAAACGTTCCCATTTGGCGAGGGAGGGCAGGCGAGCCCTTGATGCACTCCCTTGGCATCATGACGCGCCAAGACACAGCGCTGAAAACCGTGTTCGCCAGCCTGGTGTCAATGACAACGGATTGGAGCAGCAGTGCGCCTGCTGCTGATTTCAGCCATGGCCTCGTGGCTCTCCCTCCCCCGGACCGCGACCCCCCTCCGTGGCTGTTCGCGTCGTATCAGGCCAGGTACGCTGTTGCGTCGCTGGGAAAGGGAAGGCCGAAAACACATCGGTAATTGGGACACCCAGCGGCGCAAATAGAACAGCGCTCGATTTGTTGCCACTTTACGGGACCAGATTGAGTGGCACAAACAGTTGGGCCCCTGTGTTTGGATGTGGTTCTAAGACGAAGGGGGAGCCTCGCTCCCAGCAGGCGATGGCGGGCATGTGCGCGTACCAAACGTTGGCTGCCCCTCATCCATTCACTCCATTCGCTCGCTAAACGTCTGCAACACACACAGATGGTGGGCAAAGACAAGAAAAGAACAGAAGCTGACTCCAACGGGAGCAACGCCATTCTGCTGAGTGCCGCGCACGTAGTTTAACTTGCGGTCGTATTAGTAAGGGTAGGACCGCCCGAGTACACACCAAGCTGTCCCAGTATGCCGCCCTTCAGCATACCCACAAGACGTTTTGCCCTTTATTGCCTGGGCAATGAGGCAACAAAAAACGACGTTCTTTCGGAGAAATGCCTAGCAAGGCACGGCTCAAAACGCCTCACAGCAACTGAGACATTCCACCCCGGAACCCTTCTGTCAACAGCCTTGTCGTTTGCACCCATAGCGGGTGTCGGTGTGCCCGCATAGTTGGTGATAGTGTAGCTGTTGACGGACAGTCAACGGTTCCGGTTGCGCCCGTCGATGCTCAGCGCTCCCTGACAGCGCCGGCCTTGCGGGGCGATTAATGGGACGCCTTGCGTCCTTTCCAAAGGCCAGTGCGTGTACGCCCCTCTGGACAAGGCGCGGATCGTGCGATAATCACGTTGCCTCATTGGAGGCAACCATTGCACCTGGAGGCACTATTGGAGGCACCACTGCTGAAAGGGAGCGGCCAGCCACGGACGCTACCCGGCGCAGTTCAAAGCCAAAGCTACATATCAAAATTTTCAACTGCGCCCGCCGGCGTTCGTGGCTGGCCGCCCCCTTCCAGCAATTGCTTGGAATCATTGCGCAATGCTGTCTCGACGCGACCTCTGAAGAGCAAGAGGGACGCCTCAGCGCCTTTCCTCAGTGCCACACAGCCCGTTCCCCTACTCCTGCAGCCATCCAGATGACAGAAAGAAGGGGCGAGGCTCACTGGGCGACACGTCAAGGAACAAACCCTTTAGAATAGCAACAAGTTTTCAAAACCGAACGTTAAATGGACTACGGTGCTGCACTATTTGATTATGTGTTGGTTGCACAATATGCATGTTTATGTTGGATTCCCTAGATGGAAATCAAGTTTTTGTGATACCATGGAAACTGAAAGAAACATTCGCAAGATGGAAGTGTGGCATGTGCGTGGAGACTCGTGAGATTTTGCCGTAAAGTTGAGGGATTGGAGGAATGAAATGGAGTGAACTGTATTCATGCGGTACAGTATCTCAATATTTGATATTTCAATGTAAATTTGTAGAATGTGATGATGAAATATTGCAAGCACGTCTGTAATGTTCATGGAACATATTTTGATGATGGTGACAATTTGCGATGTTTGTGTCATTGGGGATTGGCACACGTATATCAATGAACCACGGTATTCAGCATGTCACAACAATCCTCGGAAAGCCGCTCGACCATTTCACACATTTTAAACATTCGAATATCGTTTGAAGTTCGGTAAATTGTGTACTTCCTCGTCCTATATTAAGTGTACTCATTTGAATAGCAAAATTCGTTACAAGAACTGCATCAAATTTATAGAAAAAGATCAGAATCGGAAAGATTGGGTCCAACCAATTAAATGCCAACTCCCAAGAAGAAGCACTGAGCCTCGCCCCCTTTGAGCGTTGAGCGAAAGGTAAATTTGGTCATTTTGGTGCTAAAAGTTGGAGGTCTGCTAGGTAAGAATGCCCTTGTTACAAAGTACTAACAAATCCTCAGTGGTCAACGAATTGACTTCATTTTTTGTCCACATACTCCAGACTCACAATCACAACCTTGGACGAAATTTCATCGGAAAAGAAGTTCCGTTGATGGAGAAATAATGCGCCAAAAGATAGAGGACATTTACCTAGTTGTATGAGTTGCATTTAACGATGTCCCAACATTGTGACCTTCCACCGCGTTTTTTGTTGCATCTGCACCAGTGAGACTGGGAGTCTTGCAGCATCCATCCGACGCCACAGAACTACTGTTGATCAAGGTAAAGAGTGTCCCAACTAATGTCAAGACTGCAAATTCGCGAGGGCAAAATATTGGGTATCGACGGCACGATGGAATCAGCTGATGTGAAGACTCCCTCTTTCAGTTTTCAGTGTACGCATATTTTAGCAAATGGACGCATTATAGACGCTCGAGGTCGACAGCCACAAGGGGATGGATAGCTTGCGATAATGGTAGTGAAAGTTGCACACTGGACTAAAGCCAGCCACTGGCAAACCATCAACGAAAAATTGCCCACATCGCACAATGGCAGACTAGTCTGCCATGGTAACTGTACTGTTACCAAATTGAGCTGAAATCGGCCTAATCGTGTGGTCGACGTTTAGACTGTGTTGAAGTGGAACCAGAATGCGCTGTGTTTTGGATGAATAACGATCGTGGTTTAATCATTATTGATTAATGATTAATTCTCACCAGTTTCCACGGGCAGAAACATGGCAAACCCACCAAACACAAATGTTTGATGCGCACAGCTCTGTGCGCTCATTCGGTGCACTCGTAATGTTCTTCCTGAGCAATAAGCCCCGGCAAGGAAATTCAACGGTGACAATATACCTTCAGGTGTGCGGCGATGGCTGAAAGACCTCACCGCCATATGGAAGCTCAAGTGGAAAATGTCAGAATGGTCTCTCCTTTGATAGTTGAATCTGCCAGCGACGCTCGTTCCTTGACAATTGATTGAGTCCGTGGCCGAGAAAACGAATATGCGCGAGCCTGTCAGATGTGAATGACATCATTGCCATGAGGTCGGAGAGATTCGCGATGAGTGGAAAGTAGTGAAAGTCCAAAAGAGATAATTGACAATACGCGCTGCTATGTCTTGCCATGCTGGTGACCACACTTGTGGATATGAAAGTGAAGGGCTCTCTGGCTTAAGAACACTTGGTACCATGGCGGGAATGGTACATTCAGCGGCGGTACCAAGTGCCAAGAGCCCTGTTACTTGCGGCTGTTCCAAATCCTAGACTAGCAGTTCCGTCCATAGCATCCTTTTGCATGTTCTTTGCACTATATTCCACAACAGCTCATAAATCTGCGATTGACAGATCCGACGAATTGTTGAACATAGATACATTCAGCATGTTCACTTGTACAAAAGCGAACTCAAAACGCACTCATTTTCCAGAACACGGCTGCTTGGTGGCGTGCTCGGGCAAAGCCATGCTGTAGGGTCATCAGAAATGGTGCGCATTCAAACCGCTGGAGCAGCCTAATGAGCAAGCGGCCTACTTAGGTGCTGCACAGTTTGAAGCATTTCCAACAAAGCCTTTCTCTGCCTCCTTGAGCACGTTTCGTGACTTGCACGCATGTCGCCACACATGCCACCCAGTTGAATGACGTTTTCGGAACTGCAGGGCAGAGCACTGCACTTGGCGGCAAGTGGCCAACTTGCCAATTTGTGGCTGCGCGAGCTAAAGCTGATGCAAAGCAAGAACACAAGCGGCAACGCTTAGAAACGCAGCACATCATCACACTCATCCCAGCGACTACCAACGACGGTCAGCAAACTCAAAGAGCAGAAGAGGGCGCAGTGTCACACCGCCCGCCCCCTCCGAACAGAGAGACCAGCGCCAACGTTCCAACACCCACCAAACTGCGCTCATCGCGGCGAGATGCTGTCCATCTCTGTACGGGCACAAGGCGCAGCAGCATGGAGCCGCAGCCACTGCACGATGGACACCTAAAACCTTTCTCAGATACATGAACTCATCGTCCAAGCACTTGATCAAGTGCTCATAAGCACACCACATGCAGCAGCACACATTTCCTGGTTTTCCTCTCCCCATCATGCCAAGTGCCATCCATGCTGGCCAACCCCAACCATGTCGTCACTCGATCTGCCAGCCATCCCGCCATCAAGTGTCCCTCAAATCCCAATCAGACAAGTGTGCCAGCCAGCCAGTCCTGTGTCGCACACAGCCGGCACCACATTTGTCCCGTGCCGTGTCCCTCAGTCAAACTTCACTGCGCCGTAGATTTTGTGCACAAACCAGTGGCAGGCATAGAACCCGATCATGCCCGTCACGCAGAAGAACCCATACGACAGGATGCCCATGTAGCCAAAGTACAACATCGCTGACACCGTCTTGGAGATGTCCAGTTTTGTGTAGAAGTAGTATGCTGAGTAAAGGAACAGGTACAGGGCGGAGGAGCCTGCCGTAAAAAATGACCGCCACCACCAGTGGTAGTCCTCGCTGCACAGCTGGAAGTAGCACAGCACAATCGTGATCTCGGCGCAAGTGAAGATCAAGATGATGAACACCAGGGTCAGGAAGCCAAAGATATAGTAGAATTGGTGCAGCCAGATGGACGTGAGGATGAAGAAGAGCTCGATGAAGACAGCGCCAAAGGGCAGCAGGCCGCCAATGAGGCAGGATAGCATGGGGTGCATGTAGAAGGGCTGCTCAGGGATCTGGCGGGGTATTTTGTTGGTCCGGACGGGGTCGTCCTGGGGTGTCTTCTTGAAGCCCAGGTAGGAGCCTATGAAGACAAGGGGGGCAGAAATGCCGAACCACAGGCAGCAGAGGGCGAAAAGCGTCCCGAAGGGGACTGCCCCTGATGATTTCTGGCCCCAGATCAAGAGGTTGAGGACGAAAAAGATGGCAAAGCAGACGCCTGCATGCACCCACACCAGCCACTGTGAATCGTTCCACTACATTCGTCAAGAATGACAAGCCACTGCCATTTGGCCCTGAAACGATGATGTGCGCGACTTCAATGGCAAGCATGTTCCATCTGGTGTCAACAGCATTCAACTCTGCTCACACACACCAGCCAGTGCCTATCAGCACCCTGTAAGAACGGAAGCATTGCCACAGGCTCTTTCAATGCGGCACCTGCCAAGGGCGACTGGCACATTCGTTTTGAACCTGACACATCCCTTGCCTTCTTAGCAGGACAGGCTGCAAGTTGCAGGGAAACTGCTCCGAAGCAGGGGATGATCACATCATGCCATCACAAATTTTTGCCCATCAAGGCTACACTGTGCTACTCCCAAATGGTTGAAAATTCATGCAGCACATATAGCACCGTAAGGAAAAGCCATAGGGCCATCTGAGTGTGCAAAAGCACAGTGTGGACATGTGTGGCATGTTTGAAGAGCCGCAATGTATCAAACTACATGATTCTGTCACCTCCAGCCACAACACGCACGGAAGTGGCAGGCAGTGACTTGCAAGCAGAATCGATCTTGGTTTTGATGAAACAGCAAGGGCACAGATTTTGGGATGCGGATCTTAGGTCGCAATACTGCCTGGTAGTGCCTTTCAAAGGGACAAGAGCACGTGCTTGTTATTTCAGAATGAGACATAACAAGGGTACAAATATGCCAAAAACTGAACTCGCACACACCTGGGAAGAAGAAAGCTGTTCGAATCGTGGTGGTCTTCCACTGACTCCCCTTGAACGTTTTATACAAACGTGCTGAGTAGAATCCCGCAAAGAATCCCATGAAGACAAACAGTACCAGGATCGCGGTCATGAGGGATCCACGATTGGCAGGTGACAGGAAGCCCAGCAGAGCGAAAAATATGGCCACGATCAACATGCCAAACAGTTGAACACCAACACCGACGTGAACAGCCAGCCATGAAGCATTGCTGGGTGGGCGGAAGACATCGCCATGGACCTGCACAAGCAGAAATGGTGCAAGAGTGAAAAATACACCAGCAAGGCAGACCCCACACATGACTGGAAAGCATTTTCGATTTGGGCTGGATGCTGAGCCAGCAACCTGACATTTTTGCCAACCCTGTTGCCAAGATGAACAGCTCAAGGGAAATAGCACAAGCAGGAGTAAGGCATTTCCATGCCTGAAGCTTTCCAAGGGTTGCTGTACATAATTTCGCACTTTTTGTGGTGCCTTCTGCATCACGGATTCTGTACAGCATCAGTAATGGCACAGGCCTGAGCACAGCATCATGCAACTCAGACCACCGAACTTCTCTGGTTTTAAAGCTCTCATACCCATCAGTCTGCGGTCAATTATTTTTGCCCACTTCACCACTTTGCATTGTCTTGCAGGGCAGCAAAGGCCCCACACCTCTCCTGTTGGGGGCCAGAACTGGCACTTGAGTTTGTGGACATAGTGAATAACTGGAACAGACAACAACATCAACAACTTGGGGGCCACACATCGCCCGCACAGTCTTGGGAGGTGGCAAGAAAACCACATCTATTGGGGCTGGATGAATGTCGGCTTGAGAAGTCTCAAACATGATCGAAAACTGTGCAAAGGCCATCAGCCTACAGTACTGCCTGCTGATACATGATTTGCTGAGAAATTGAGATTCAGCCTCACCAGCTTCCATCCAGACTCCTCTTGGGCCTCTTCCACAGTCTCCAGCTGATTGTACTTTGCAATGTCCCGATGCAGCGTCCTCAGCATGATCATCGCAACCATCCCTGACAGAAAGACGACAATCATGAGTGAATTTATGATGGAGAACCAGTGGATCTGGTCATTCCTCCGGAAGGCAAGGTAGGAGTCCCATCGTGACGCCCAGCGCACGTTGCTATCCTGCACCAAAACAATCCAGTATTGTCTGAATGGGAACAGCAACACACAACAGGCGCAAGAGTGTTGCCTTGTGTCTATTGACAGAGGTAACAGCCAAAATTACAGCTGAACAGCTGAATGGCATCAGTCTGTTTTCTGTGGGCGCCATCACAGAAGAACTACAAAGTGAAACAAAACCCAATTATCATTTCAGACTTTCCTGAGCTGCTATTGCAAGATGGGCACATGCGACCTCCATGCACATTAATGTGGCCGGTGGCTACAAATGGGACCCAGATGGAGATCTGGACATACATTTAAACTGCTCTTTGTTCGTATTGATCGAAGAGTGTCAAACAGCTGCCTTCCTCTTGCAAGGTGACAGAGCCCATGCCACCCTGTTGACACCGAATGCCAGCAATCGGTGCATGGCCCCAATGGCTATTGACACTGGTCATGTGACATGCATATAATGTGTTGTGTGGTGTGCAAAAGACATAACGGCAATAGTTATGTGCTCTGCGGATGATGTCACACGCAAGGCACATAGATCACATGGTGCGTGCAATGCTGGCAGTTTCCCTTTTCTTGCCTTGGTGTTAACACCGATGCATCACGACATTTATGTACTTGAGCGTATTGAACAGTGCGTGCTTCAACATGCATCAGTCTTTGCACCTACTGCTAAATTTGTTTCCAACCTGCACACCTACGATGCATTTCCAGCACCAGAGATGGGAGCTGCCGAATTGGCTTTTGAGCCTGATAGTTTATCAAAGCATCTTTATCGGTGGGTGCTATTGTCCTGGCGGAGCTATTTGGCTATCCGAATAGCACCGCAAATCCAAAACCATCATTAACGGTTGGGGAGCAGTAGCACCCCAATAGCGCCCCCGGAGCTATTCGGCGCCGAGCGGCGCTATTTTGGCCTGTGATGCTATTCAGCGTAGGCATAGCACCCACCATTGCGAATGGGCGCAGGGGAGCAATAGCACCGGTGCTATTCGGCAAATGCCACCTTAGTAAGGTGGCACTGCAGCCAATGAGAACAGTTCCTGGACAGCTCCGCTGGTGCAATAGCACCGACCAATAAAGATGCTCTCAATTGCACCAACTGTGGAAAGAAAATCCCCTGCAATGCTGACATTTTGCAAACCACCAAGGTGGCACATGCAACAACACTTCACCACAATGCCGATCAAATAATAAACGTGTTTGCCCACTTCCCTGGCTCGAGTTGCTATGCAAAGTTGCAAAGACAGAGGACTTTGCAGCCTCAATCACTGACATTGTCAATCCCCCTTATCCGTGTATATTTAACTCCGTACCAAATAACATTGAATCTGGTACCAAACTGCCGCCGTACCAAGTGACATGGAAACTAGCACCAAACAATATTGAAGCTGGTACCAAACTGCTGACGTACCAAATACAATTGAAACTAACACCAAACATATTGAATTTGGTACCAAAATTGTGCCGATACCAAAAATGTAGAATCAATACCAATTAGTCATCGAATGGCAGTCTGCGACCATCATTGGGCTTGCCCTTGGTTTAGGGTTTAGGTTTTATGAGACCTTATGGCGGCGGCGGCGATCTGATAACTTATTGGTACTGGTTCAACATTTTTTGATACACCAATTAACATTTTTGGTACTGGCGCGAGTTTGGTACCAGATTCAATATGCGTTGGTACTAGTGTCAAATTTATTTGGTACAATGGCAGTTTGGTACCAGATTCAATATTATTTGCAGCTAGTTTCAATTTTATTTGGTATGGCGGTAGTTTGGTACCAGATTCAATATTATTTGGTATGGAGTTGAATAGGTTCCTACCCTATCCTCGCTGCTTAATTCCTACACAACCCAACCCACCTTGAACAGGACATCATATGTGAAGATGACCTCTTGTTCCAGGACTAGCTGGAAGGGAGCATTAAACCGTTGAGGTGGATCTTCAGGATTGCAGGTGGAGAGCTTGGGAATGGCATCGTTGCTCTCAGGATCATGGTGCACTGAGTAAGGTGTGACCTCAAACCCCACCACACGTGATGAGCCTCTGTTGATGTCCTTGTGGTAGTGAATGGTGAACCGAAGATGATTGAACAATATATATTGATCCTGTCAGAAACAAGACCAGGCATGAATAGTTTTGCCTCTTTTTGCAAAATCGATTCATTCAATAAATCTGTCCTTGCAGGGGAAAATGGTGCCATCACACCTTCAAGGCGATGCTTAGTGCTGGCGAAACCAAACTGCTAGTTTCTTTCCTGTTGGTTCATATTGTGCACATGTGCAGATGGTAATAGAAAACCTGATCGCAATGTGTTCCACAGCATATCGGCAGTAAGAGACAACGCACACACTTCCTGGACTCTTGAATGTGACGCAATATTTGGCAATCGAAGAATCTTGGTCAGAAGAGATTCATGATGGACTGCAAACATGCATAGGCAGAAGTTGTGTCACACTTGCATCAACACAAGTGCAGGGGATCTCTGTGGTGGCCACAGAGAGTAGACAGCGAATTGCAAAACAAAGGACTGCCAAAATTCATATGACCTGCACATGCACTACTCAACTCACACCCCTGAACAAATACCAAGTATTGTGCACTCATTCCCAACTGCCTCAGCAACTGGCCAAACGCCCTACTATTGGCAAAATATTCATATCCATTCATTGTTTGACCGTGCAGAAGACAACCCTGACACTCTAATGTGGCAACTGATTGGTTGTTGGACGCACCCATGGTGCACATAAATGCATTTATGAGGATACCCACTGATCAAGATGAGCGCATTACCCACCCACGCGTGCAGAAAGCATGTGCTTGCATATGTATTACATTCAGTATCTAGTCACCATATATCCCAGTTCTCTGACCAACACAACCAGTTCAGCATTACAGGTGCATGTTTGTGAGGACCTTCAGCCACACTAATGACATTCTAACAAGGCAATCTTATCACAATGCATGATTTTTTAGCAAAAACGCACAATGCACGCAGCAGGGCTGGCTTTATGCACAGTCATAAGCACACCACAGTCGGAAATCTGGTTGCAGGCTTAACGGACTTCAGGCTAGTCAAATTCATGATGTGCACAGAGACTGTTTTGATGCCTAGGAAAAACAGTCTGACTGCTGCACACACACTCATGGAACAATACAAGACTGTACAACCTGTCAACAAGCAAGCACTGAACTGCACAAGACATCAGTTGCACCTCACTGCCCACTGCGGCAAATTGGCATGCATCAAAACCAATCGAATGCTTTTAGTTGCGGCAAATCACATCCCTTGCCTATTGGGCGATGTTCAGTGCTGTTCGCATGTTGTGTTTGTGTTTCCACCGCAGTTTTGTTTCCATTCTCTCAGAAGCATTGGCTGTGGAACTGTAAAATCTGGAACAAGAAAAACAGTGTGCAAGACTCTGGTTTCACCTCATCTTTGTACCCCACAGGGTAGCCTCTGTCATACACGCTGACGACCTTTCCATTTTCATCAACGGTCCTCAATTCTCTCAAGATGCCAACAGGCAAGTTGTCAAAGATCCTGTGGACAGAATGCAAGCTGATGACCCAGACATGCCAGTGAAATTGTTGTATTGCTGCTTCTGTTCGATGCACTGAAGAGTCAAAAGTGCTTTGCACAAATTGACTTTATCCACAAAGAATATTAGGATCACCAGTTGCCCTCAAAATCCAACAAATACATTTGCAGTCTCGATTCAGTGCACCAGAAAAGAACAAATAGACGTACACTATTTGCTTCGAATCCTGATCTACAAGGGTCATCATGGAGTCCAAGCTTCTGTACTTTGAGACTGAGCAATCATTTAGATGTGAACACCTTTGGGCCCATATCGCCTTGCCCTCTCCTGCTGGGTGGCACAAGGCTCGCATATGTTGTGTTAGGACAGTGGTGGCACCTAGACATAGACATGTGATGTGGTATATCTGACAGAAACATGCCTACAAGCAGCCCACCAAATTTTGCATTTTACACCTTGATTGTATGCTCCAGTTCTCAAGTCCTGTATATTGGATTCAAAGCTGCAGACTCAAAATTGATGGCAAAGCCATCAGAACAAACCTGCCCATTACATGGACCACCTGCAATGAACAGTGGCATAACGATTCCCATAAGTAGCACATGATGTCTATTGGACTAATACAGCGATCAGGGCGACGGCAGAAAGTCCTTTACAAATGATTGGCAACAAGTGAAGGACATGTGTCAGGCACTAGGCATCCTCCAACTGAGAGTGCAGGGCACCCGATCAGTGCTGGGTCTTTTGCTTGGTTGGTGAACCCAAAGCCCACCAGAAAACTATTGAAGAGCTTTCAGCCTTGGAAACAAGCTTGCAGCCCCAACATCACACAAGAGTACAGTGGAAACCTCTATGTTTTCCACCATTTCCTTGGGTTTCAGACTGACAATTCTTGCCCCGACCGGCAGGATGACAACATTGGCCATGGCCACACTGGAAATATGCCAGAATGGGCTGAGGATTGTGCTGCTTAGTGTTTAGTGTCCGATGAGTGCCCAGTATTGTGTCTGACAACATGCAGCATGCTTTTTCCTTGAGACCTTGTTGCAAAAATCAGTCCACTGCAACTGTGATTTGACAGCAACAACTGCGCACACACAAGAGCACACAACAACACATAGGACATAAATGAGAGGTTGCTCAAGGCTCTGTGTGACCAAAATTGGCCAACAGAGATGTGCAGATTTGCAAGGCAGCCATTCTTGCACTTCACTTGCATTCTTGAAACTATTTGTTTTCGCCAATCGACTCTCAGTGGTGTGCATGCACAGGTGAACTTGGGGCAGTGTCGCTATTCCAAGGAACATTCTGTTATTGCTGAGTTGGCACATAGTGACACACCCCAAGGGGGCTTGAGCTTTTTGCATCAGTGAAGAGAGACACAGCTTCCGTGGTTGCAAAGTAAGCAGCTTGAGAGGCATGAAATGCAAACAGGTCTGGTCCCCTACATGTTCACTCTGTACTCATCGTCGATTTTCGACTCAAAGTTCTTCACATCATCCTTTGTGAGAGTTTTCCGACAGGCCACTTTGCACTGACGCTCCCTCAAAAACTCAAACTGTACAAACACAACACAATCCGCTGCATGCTCAACATGCTCAGACAGTACATAGAAATAGGGATCTATAATGAATTTAAGTGCCTTGCATCGTCTTGCAGTATAACTTCATGTATTGCTTCCATGTTGCTGTCACAAGCACAAACAAGATTGAATCTCACATGGGGCAGACAGGAAATCAGACAACATCACTGGAGTCAAACGTGGGCTGCAACCCTTGTCAGGAGATCTGCGCATGCCTAATGATCAGGTGGACAACAATGCCACAATTCAGAGAACGCGTTTTGAGGTTGCAGACTCGTTTCTATATCTACCAGAAAAAGGGTGATTGGCTGTGGGTGGGGAGCACCACACTTTCCCAGGTTGAAATTCCCCTTTGCCAAATTACTACAGGACACCTGATGATGGCTTTTGGTCACCACTAGCGATGCGACAACAAGGTACACATCTCCGTCTGTGGCACATGCGCCCACTGACATGTGAATGGGCAGCATGTTTTCACTCTACGCAAATGCAACCACTAAGGGTGTCCGCTATCAGTGGCATGTCCCAACACGCCTGAAACAGATGCGCAAGGCATACTTTCTGGGGCAAATCAGCTGTGCAGCAACAGGGGGCACTGCACTTGATACAACACTTGCAGGCAAACGTTCTACCAGAAGGCTCGATTTGCACATCTTGAGTTGAGAGGATCCATATTGCTTGTCTGGCAAGAGCACCGTTCTCTGCTGAACTCCAAGCCACCGTTGTGTCTACAGCCAAAGTGCTCCATGCCTGTGTTCGATTACCTTGCTCAAATGTGACAAAGCATTCACACCCAAAATTGAAGGGTGTCTCGCCACTGGCACAAGCTGCCAACTGCGATGGCAGCTGCGCATTTCTAAAACCATGCAAAAGGCTTTTCACCACAGCCACCAATGGCTGGGTATTTCCGCATGCTGTTGTGCAAGGCCGTTGGTTGCTGCATAGACACGCCACTTGGCGCAAGGCTGCAACAAGGCGTATTTGAACTGCAGCCCCCCTCTCAGCTCTGCCACATGCCACTGCATATTCCAGTGATAACTTTCTCTCCAAAAAACTGAAACGTGTCACACCTTGGGCGCCCTTCCCCTCCGGATTTTGTTCGACATTTACATTGGAAGGAGACAACATGAAGGTGAATCGGAACCCCGCAAGTGTAGCAGGAATATAACGCTGTGCACAACAAAATGGCTCCGGAACCAACCTCAAACACTGAAGTCTCAATTCTGTCGCCCCTCAAGACTTCCCCAAGGTTCTCTGCCATGCTCTTGACCTTCTCGGGCTTGCAGTATGGCAGGCTGTAGTACTCATAGGGCAGCTGGGTCTTGGTAGAGGACAGCTTGTTCACCTTGAAGCTCGCATGGTCGCCCTAATCCGCAACCATCGCCAGAGGGGCCAATTCGCAGATTGAACGGAGCAGGGAGCAACATGGGACGGTTGCGTGAAGTGCCCACGGTTGCTAACAGTGCACGACGCTGTCACGTAGGCTCGCATGCAGCATTTGATCATCGCGAGCGCAACATTTTGAGGCACGATTCCGTCGTTTCGGGACCGCGAGCACATGTGTGTGCCTATGAGCCAACGTGCTGGTCCAGCAGGCCACATGCGCTCTACTGTGGCAACTCTAATCAAGGCGGAACTCGACCAAGCGTCGAGCACCTTCAAGCAAGCAGCAGCTGCGGCAGGCGCGGGGGCACGATCCAATCCACCGCGCTACGGGGCACGCACACCATCGAGATGGATCCCCCAACGGCGGCACTGAGGGCGGCCAAACCACACAATCCTTGCAGATCCATTCCGAGCGCCGCCTGGGCCAGCCCAGACTTCAACCGGCGGCAATGAGCCGTTCATCACCTCCTGGAAGTCCCTCGGCGCCACTCCCGGCAGGTAGAATCCCGCCACGGTGCCGAGGACGCCGGCCAGCAGCGCCAGCGCCAAGGCCAGGCGCAAGGACGCCGACATCGGGCTTGCCATGGCGCGAGGCCGCGCGTGCCCGCGCCGCGCGCCCGCCCGGTCGGACGCTTCCGAACTTCGCGCCACAGCTCAGGAGAGGAGCAGCTGCAGCGCGAGGCACGTAGCCGGGGGCGGGTTGCGAACGGTGCTGGTGCGGGTGTGGGGTGGGACAGAGGGGCCTGTCGCTGTCAGACAGCCCCAAATTTTTTTGCTGCACATGCGCTTAAGCACATGCGCGTGGAATGCGGACGGAACGTATTTTTCGTGGCGATTTTACGTCGGCGGCGTTCTCCGGGAAGTCCGCTCAAAAGCCGGTGCTCGGGGTGGAAACACCGTGAATGTGTAAGGGTGGCGCTCGTTGGGAGGGGGAGTTGGCTAGGCCTGTTCTGGTGCGCATTGGTGGGTGGGCTGGGGCATAGCCTTGGGTTTGCTATTTGTGTCCAAAATCCTGGCAGTGCGTGCTGCGGTTTCTGTCGGTGTTAGTGATTTGCGAACGAGTTGGGGCGTACAAGTCGCACATACAGTTCCCGGGCCGCGACAAAGAGTGCTTGCGCACAGGGAAGAAGGGCAGATTTACTTCGATCGCTGGCCAGCCCAACCGATGGATTGCAGGCGTTGAATATGCAGTTAGAATTTGGAATCCATCCTCACAGCGGCACAAAAGGGGCAGCGCAGGCAATTTTGGTGCTGGGAGTCGCGCGTTGGGACCGTCGTGTCCAAACACGCTCCTCTGGAACATATCCTGTCATAGACAAATGCCCAGTTGCCCATCCCTCACTGTTTTGGAGGCCTTGAGAAATGATCAGGCACGATGTTAGCATGAGGGATGCGTCTATCGGAGCCCATGCAGCCTTCCTGCGGGGGCGACCATCGTGTTGGCCCAACCAGCTGTGAGTGTGACCGTGGGGGCCAGTGGAGTCTGTTGCCACTTTAGGATATGGGAGTAGGACAATATTTGTGAGGTTGTTGCAGTCTATTGGAAGCTGGTGCTGCATCAGCATCGCTGTTCTGTATTGATACGAGATCCGATCACCATGTTTTGCCATGTCGCGTGCAAGGAAGGAATCAATCAACCAATCGCCCTGGGCACACCAACAAAGGTGGACACTGCCTTCTTCCATCACTTGAATGAGACATCAGATTCATGCTGCACGACCACCACAGCACCTGTTTCTCCCCACGGATATCCTGTGACGCTTGCATAAAGATGCACCATCAGCTGCTCTGCTTGGTACGAAGGGAATGGTGGCATGACGCTGACGCATTCAGGAATCTTTGTATAGACCGACCGATAACAGCCAACAGCTCCAGTTTCCTTGCATTTTCTTGCAGTTTCAGGCCAGGCTCGGGCATACTATTCTCGTTGAGTACGTTGCTCCGTCATGATCCTCGTCTCCAAGAAATTCTGCCTCCAATTGTTCCGGTGGCCCCTACTCTCGTGCGCAATATCATAGGTGCGACAGCAGTGATCGTGCTTCATTAATCGGCAGACACTGGCCCAAACCAACGAAGCAGCAGAGTCGTGTGCCCAAACATTGTACATTCGACAACCGCACGAGCGCTTACAAGACAGCCACTGAAAATTACCGAGCGTTCCTGGAGGGAAGATGCACTGGGGCCCGCGGAAACATAAACCACTCCAAGAGGCAACGCCCCAGCAGCAGGGCACGCTCGCAGCGGAGAAAAAAATACAGACTGACCACCCATCCCCCACCGCCACCACCGATGAACAACCTGTTGCCCAGTTTATGACGGCCAAACAAACAGTATGGACGTCTGAGTGCCGGTCACTCCCCACAACAAGCCCGCAAGGGCACTCTTTACCCTACCCCGCGCCCGCCCACGCCATCCAAGGAATTCATTGCCAGCCGGCTCATCCCACCGCCACCTTCCGCCACGGATTCACCCGTCGACTTTCAACGCGAACTGCAGCAGCATCTCCACCACTGGCTTCTTCCTCTCCGGCAGGCTGGCCATGATGTCCGCCACCGTCTTCTCGCACTCAGCCTGCAGGCTGCTGAACGTCTCGTCCGACGTGCTGCTCCCCTCCGCCATCTTCTTCGCGAACTCCTCCTCCCTCTCCCGCCGGTACGCCGCGATTTCCGCCTCCGCCTCCTCCTTGGCCTGCTTCAGCTTCTGCGTGCGCGCCCCCCGCGCGCGGTTGACGATCTCCTGCGCGCGCTTCTCGGCGTTGAGCAGCTTCTGGATGTTGGGGTCGCTCGTGGGGGGCTCCATCCGTCGGTGCGCAGCGCTGGGGCGGCAGCACGGCCGGAGGCGCGGGGAGGGCTCTGGGGGGCTGCTCCCTTCGCCCGCGGGCGACCCACTTTCAGGGCAAAGGTCGGCAATTTTTTTTCCAAGGATGGGAGGCCCCTGTACGGCCACCGAAGCGTAACAGAATCCGCGTAACAAAGTGCCCACCCTCCAAATGAACCTCTGCCGTTGATTCGTGTGCACGGGGAGGATAAGGGAGACTACAAAGCTGAGTGCAGTCCCTGCAGAGGAGTGTGGATTGAAGAATGCAGGGGAGTGTTCCAGGGAAAGGGCGAAAACAACGCCAGCATTCCGTAGAAGCAGATGAAACTACCGAGACGGAACGAAGTTGCACATATGGTAAAAAGCGAGCAGTGTCTCCGCGCCAGGACGCCAGGGAAGCTAATCTTTGCAGTGGGCTGCCGTGCACGCAGCGCGAATCCTCTTGTTGGAAAATCGCGTTCCCTTTTTGTAGCAGCCCACGTCGCCCAACGGTAAAAACCTCGAAGACCCCTAAACACCCAGAAACAAACCACCGAGAAGTCCACAACGCCAGCAAGGAGACCAGGGCCTGTATCCAAGTTTTGAGAGACAGTGTCGCACTCGTGCCCCGGTGTCAGACCGGCAGCCGTCCACGTGGGGTCTCACCGTCCAAGGCGGATGGCCCTGGTCACGCAAATTGGCGAGTACTTTGACATGCAATCCCCCGTCCACACCGCAGCCCGCCCGGCTGGTTTTGACACGGTCCTCCCGCCCGGCCGTAGCGGGCTCGTTTTTCCACCCTCGGCCAGCTTGCCAGGCCGCCGCGCCGCAGCGCAGCCAGGCGGAACCCGACTCCTATAGCCGCAGAAGTCGCTTTCCCCCTGGCGTCCGCCCACCTCAGGCTCTGGCGACTGTGCTGATTGCATCTCGTGATTCTCGACGGGCTCTGGGCGTGGCGCCACGCCTCGCCGCTCCGCGGAATCCCCTCCTCTGCAAATTGGAGCGGCTGGGGCGGGATGGATTCATCGGACTCCGGGCCCGTCGTTTTCGGGGACCTGGACCGGGACAGGGACGTGCCGCTGGTGGGTGTGGGTGTCGGGCGGCCATCGGGGCTCCGATGGCCTTGCCGGCCCCTCGCGGGGGGGAAATGGCCCCGGGGGGCGCCCAACGGCGGGATCCCACACGGCGGCCGTTCGAGCTTGCGGGCCTGAGAAGGCCTTTGGATTGGTGCCGGCGATGGGCAAGTTGGGCAAGTTGGGCAAGCTGGCACTGGCCGCGCTCCACGACGGGTGGCGGGCCAGTGCCGGGCGTGCCTGTTGCCCCGGGGGAGGGGACGCGCGGGCGATTACGCACCGAGATGGCGCGGTATCTGCCCGGTTGGGAGTTTGACGGCGCACTCGCATGTTTCGATGGTCGCCCCTTTGGCGCCATGGGCGAGGAAACTCGCCTGGCCAACTCGTTTCGAGCTCTTCTGCGCCAAGCGGTGTGGAATTCTCCGTGGGATTTGCCGGGGCGTTCACGACACGGTGTGCCGCCCGCCTGTTTGGGTCTGGTGCTGATGGGGCGCTTGCTACTGGCGGACAGGCGGAATCCGCGGAGAAGAGCAGCGGGGGGGAGTTCGCCGAGGAGGGGCGGGACCTGCTGCTGCGCGTGCGCCGGCGGTGGAAGCGCGAGCAGCTGGCATCGTCCTCGGACGGGGTGAGTGCCGCGCCGCGGTGTGCGGGGCGCCAGCTGCTCCCAGGAGAGCTGCGAATGCAAGCATGTTGCAATTCTTGCGGCGCCTGGGCTCGCAGACGGCGCCGGGTGACGTGGGCGCGTATCGAGGCACCTGGGCTGGTGGCCGGACAGTGGCCCGCCTGAACAAGGAAATCCAAAACGGTGCCGCGCCAGGTAGAGGATGATCGGGTGCCGGCAGAGGCCCTGGCCCCCCGCTTCCAAAGCTCTGAAGCAAGGCAGGGGCGGTGGGGGTGAGCTATTGGCAGAGAGTCAAGGATGGCCGGGCCTGCCAGAGTAACTGAGGCAGTACCCCGGGCTGGGTGTAACGACAGGGGCGATGGTGTGCGTTGTTGTTATTGCTGAGAGGATCTGAAGAGTCAACACCAGAAGGTGTAGTTGGGCCTCCGCCCCAGGGTTGTAACTCCCAACATATGTTTGCACCTCGAGTCCCAACCAGTGCGGTGTGTGCTGCACTTGCTGCAATGCTACACTCCAACACAATCACACCCTTTTGAGCAACACTGCTACATCAAGCGATGTGGCAGATTTCTCAGGTACAGGCAAGAGGGTCCAAGCGAGGTTCCCACTATGTGCCCCGAAATTTGGCATCATCTGTGGTGGCTTTGTGCAGCATGAGGTATGAAGTAATTTGCAACCACAGCAGAGGTCTGATTCCTAAGTCAAGAGCGCATGCGTGTGTGTGCACAGCTGGCCTCAAAGCTGGTGGAACTGAGGCGAGCACTGTCAGGATGGAGAAGGGAAGGCAGGCTTGAAAGGAGGTCTCAGCGTGCATTGGAGGTTGGTGGACTGTGGTCCTTGTGTAACACTGCTTTGGTTGCTTACATCAGCATTGACAGAATGTTGCCCTGGCCCCATAAGGTGTTTGCACAGAGTTCATGGACACCTTTCTTCAAGGGACTCCGCCCTTACAGATACAAAGAGATTTGACTCGCAAATTTTCCACAATGTCAACTTGTTTCCAGCTGTTGTTGCGTAACTTGGGAAGTCTATTCAAAGCACTGACTGACTGATGAGGTGATCAAGCTGAGCGGCAAACAGGTACATTCTGCCACCCTGGCTGTTGGTGACCTCCTGCCCAACCTTTATTGCACACAATCAGTATCCTATCAATTGTGCTCTTAATCAATTATGCTGCAGAAAGTCTTGGCGCCTGTTGTACTGCGAACTCAACAAAGCTCAGCTGTGCCTTGAACCAAGGTTTGTGTCGATGTTTGCAGAAATTTGTTGTCTTCCCTGCCTAATTCATATTGTCTCTTGCGATCTTTTCATTCCGGGTAGAAGGGCTATTTGGGCTGGTAAGGTAGAACAACAAGAAAAAATAGAAACAAATTGTACAATGTCAAGCCACTGCTGGCAGAGTTTTTAGTACTGTTTTATTCACAGTTTTCACAGCGGATGTAAGCCCAGCAATCGTTGTGCTGAAATGCTTGGCTGAACACACTTGCTGACACTTGTATATGTGTGCTGATTCCAGGCTCGTGAAGCAAGAACTGGCAGCTCTCTCAGGAGGTTGGGTCTTTGTAGAAATATCAAGCTGGGCTGCCTCAACAGGGAAGACGATGAAGAAGTTGTTGTGCAAGAACACCCTGTGGAGGTGCTTCTGGCTGCGAGTCCTTTGCTGTGTTGTATCTAGCTGCTAGAATGCGCGATAATGTTGTGTCAAGTGAGATAGTGTGTCAGGTTGTATTCTCCAAGTTTAGCTGAATGTATGTGAATGTTTTATTAGTCATGCTACAACATACAGCACCGGTGGCAACAATGTTGAAGCTTGCTTATATCCCTGACTGGGCATATTGATGACACACACTTGAGTCAACACGTCAAACAGTAGGAACAAGATTTGTGGTTTGACACACCTTTGGGAGAGACGGCACATAGACAAACAAAAGAGCCAACAGAAGAGCCAACAAAGACCCACATTTTATCCAGCTTCTGAAGCTTTCCACAGCCCCATGTGTTTGCTAGTAGTGGTTGGCGGCATCGCAGCAATTCATATTGCCAGAACTACAAGGCCGCGCCTCATGTTTTTGTCAGGAATTGGAATTGTTGACTTCAATTTGGGACCTGCTGCAATTCCAGAGATTCACCACTTTATCACAGATGGTTTCCCATCACTGGGCACATTTCACTGCGCAGCACGATTTCTCGCTGACTCCTTTTTTCTGAGCCCTTCTGATGCAAGCTCTAAATCACTGCTGATGATAACAATGTGCGCAGTACTGACAGTGCTCCTCTCAACTTGATGTCCTTGACAGGGTTGCACAACTGTAAGTACTTTCGCCAGCTGGAGCCAACTCCCTTTGGACATATTCGACCTCCTCCTCAATGCGATGGAAGAAGAAGGCCCATCCATTGGCGAGCTGCGGCTTGTGTGCAGAGCATGGCATGAGGGTGTCAACTTGGCCCTGAGGGCTTTGAAGCCATCCATGCCTGGCGGTCTGAAGGCAAAAGCCCCCCAGGATGCACACCGAGGCTCGCCTGTCCGCCACAGAATAATGCAGATGCTGGGCCGCAAGGCAGACTACTTCGACGTGGACGCAACTGTGAGGAGCCTGGTGCCCAAGTTTCAAAACCTGAGGATCTTGGACTTGAGCCATCCCAGTATCCAGCTGACTGACAACGCCCTTGGTGACCTGATGGGCTTCACAACCCTTCAGCACTTGAACCTCAAGTCGTGCCGCACGTTGACGGATGGCAGGCTGCTGTCATTGTCAAACTTGAAGGCCCTGGAGCATCTCAACCTGTCCTACTGCAGGGCGATCACGAATTCAGGTCTTGTGACGATCTCCTCGCTCAGCCAGCTGCTGCACCTCAACATCGAGAGGTGCGCCAGGCTGACTGACGATGGGCTGGCAAATCTGCAAGGCATGTCGAGGCTGTCAGAGCTTGTGCTGAAGGACTGCTGGCGGATCACCAACTCGGGAATCGGGCACCTGATGAGTTTGAGCGATCTCAGCCTCCTGAGCCTGGAGCACTGCTTTCGGATCACTGACCCTGGCATCTCGATGCTCAGCTCCTTGTCCAAGCTCTCCCACCTGACCCTGAAGGACTGTTGGGGCATAACAGATGCAGGGCTCATGGCCTGCGCGAACCTGGCCAGCCTCAGGCACCTCAACCTTGAGCACTGCTTCAGGATCACTGATGCGGGTCTGGAGGCAGTGACCACATTCTCGAACCTGACACATTTGAACTTGAAGGACTGCTGGGGGGTCACTGACTTCGGACTGCTGGTGGTGACCACTTTCACATCGCTGCAGTGCCTGAACCTGCAGCACTGCTTCAGGATATCGGATGCGGGCCTGTCTTGCCTTGAGACGCTGCACCAGCTGAGGTACCTGAATTTGAAGGACTGCTGGGCAATCACCGATGCGGGGTTGGCATCCTTTTCTGGTCTGCAGTGCCTCACCCACCTCAGTCTGGAGCATTGCTTCAGAGTGAGCGACGTGGGGCTGGCAGCCCTGGAGAGCCTCTCACAGCTGATGTATTTATCGTTGAAGGATTGCTGGGGAATAACTGATGTTGGGATTGAGGCGATCATCGATTTTCCAGCTTTGAAGCAGCTCAACGTCAAGAACAATTTCAGGGTCACCAGTTTCGGACTCGAGATGTTGCGAGCTGCAAAGTCATTGGAGATAACTGTCTGATAGTGCAAACACAGTCGAGAGGTGGTGCGGTTGTCAGTTGACCAAAGGAGCATACGCCAGCGCTTGTGCGGATGCAGCATCTTGAATGTGCAGATGGCACGGGGCGCAGTGTGCCCTTTCTTGGCTATGATTAGTCACTGCAGGCTTGAACATAGTGCAGAGTGTGTCAGGGATTGGGGTAGTCGAAGCAGAAATTCGTGTGCTGGGTTTTAGGTAAATCAGTGGCAGAACGGCCAGAAAGTCTGAACAGTTGTGTGCAATAAAGTGGGGCTTCAGGTTGCCGGCAACAAAACAACGCAGCCCTCTCGCTGCCAAAATCTCCAGAATAGCCACCATTAGGAGAGCTTTGGTTGTGCAGGATACTCCCTGGGCAGGCGCCTAGCTCAGAGACAGTGAACCAGCGTGATGGCAGACTGTGCCACACATTTTGGCATTTTTTTGGAAGGTGGTGTGGTGTGCATATTCGAATGCATAATTGGGGACCCCGTTGCATGTCTTCAGATTGAGCACCTGCGGGATGGGCAGGGATATGGACATTGGGCTTTGGGCTCCCACCAGTGTGGGATGTCCTGGTCTCAAGGCCGATGGGCCTGTGCTTGATCACGCAAGAGTCATCATTTGGCACTGGATATAGGTACCGAGTGGATTTGGGACCGTTCAGGTGGCATGGCTTGTTGGATGGTGGCGGCCTCCGTTGTTGCTTGCATGGGGTGGCCGTTGTTGCCCGATTGGCAGCGGCTGAACACGAAGCATAGTGCAGTGGGAAGTCCCCAGTGCACCATTGAACTTGTTTATCAGCATGCATAACATGCGAATGTCCATGGTTGCCCTTGTTATTATGTTCATGACTTCGTGCTTCGGGATAGGTTTCTCCCAGGGGACCTGCAAGGGGTCGCCATGGGTTGACGTACGTGGCCGTGCCACGCAGCTGGGGAGGGGCCGCCCTCGTGCCTTCAACTGCTTTTCTCTGGGGGTGCGAGAGTGCATTGCCATCTGCCAACATGTCATGTGGTAGGATCGTTGGCATCCATTTTTGGATTCCAAAGCATTACATCACATTTCAGCGTTTAGGTGCCTACCTCGTCCTAACACAAGATATTGCATCCATTGTTGGCCTCCATTGTCGTTTTATCTGCATTCCCGTTGCCCACTCTGCGAGCGTATACCCCTTAGCCTCGCGTCCCAGCCAAAGCCCCATTTGACCTGTGCGGACAGGACCACAAAGCGCCAGCTTCGCCAATACACCCGACCCAGTCCCGAGTCATTCTCAACTCAACGCGCTGTGCTGGCCCACGAAACGCGCGACCTGCCATTCTGCATGGGACATCCATTGGCTGCTGCATCGCCAACAGATGACCCGACAGGCAGGTTGGCCTGCATGGGCAGCCACTTCTGCGAACGTTTGATGCATAGGTATGTAATAATGGCACCGTGGAATTGCTGTTACTGCGTTTGTGGCACCGACGGACAAAGGCGCTTGCACCAAATTTGGCAATGCCCGGCGAATCATGGCACCACGCATGTTCACTGTCCACCGATCCAGAGCTATTTGGGACGGCGGCATTAAACAGCTCCTGCTCATCCACCATTGGTGCAGGAACTGTGATTCTGCTAGTGCATCCTGCTGCCCTATTGGATTGACATTTGGGCCCCCCAACCGATTGTTTGGAGCCACTGCTGATGGTGGGCCCCATAACAGCGCCCACACACACTTCCGGGAAAGGAGGCAGGGACTCCTGCCATACTTGCGGTCACCTGCTGATTGGCTGAGCCCTTGCCTTGTTCATGAAGCCACCAGCATGTGCCCATCGGCTCAAGTAGCCAATGGTGGACTGTGACACTCGCTCAAATCGAGTGCCAAATGTGTTCATTCAAGTCCTTCATGCTTGAGTGTGTTCGAAGGGGAGCAAGAGCTAGTGTCTGTTGCGGGCTGGCCATCATTTAGACACATCTGTTGCACCCAATGAATCCTCCACCAATGCGCATCCGGATCCCATTCTCCATGCATTGGGTCTGCCAAGTAAAATTTTCTGGCATGCTTTCAAGTGTTCATATCATCTTTGAGTTGCTGCTGACGTCCACCTGGATCTTCATGTCTTGTCCTCTCCCTTCCAGCCGCCCTGAGGTGCCCTT